CCGCCTCTCTGGGCCCACACCCCGACACACGCTCAGAAGCACACGCGGGACACGTCCAGACACCCCCAAACACACCAGACACCCCCTGACACACATACCTATATACACGTCCACTCACATACATCCCCTTATACACTCCCTCATATACACACCCAAATACACACCCATATACACCCACTCACATACGCCCCCAAACACACACATATATACACCCAAACACACATACGTATGTGTATACACCCAGACGCACGCATATACCCCCAAACACACACCCATATACACCGAAATGCTCACATACACCCCCAAACACACACACATGCACCCAAACACACATACGTATATGTATACACCCAAACGCACACATACACCCCAAAACACACACCTATATACACCCAAACAGACCTATGCACCCCCAAACACATACATATACGCCCAAACGCGCACATACATCCCCAAACACACAGCCATATACACCCAAACACACGCGTATAAACCCACATACACATACGTATATATACTCACCCAAACACACTCATACATCCCCAAACACACACCCATCTACACCCAAAGAGACATATGCGCCCCCAAACACACTCATGCATCCAAATACACGTAGGTATATATATATATATTCACACCCAAACGCACACATACACCCCCAAACACACATCCATATACACCAAAACACACATCTACACCTCCAAGCATACATACATATACACCCAAACACGCATACCTATATATACCCTCAAACGCACACATGCGTATACACCCCAACCCACACATACACCCCCCAAAATACACACCGACCGCCCCCAAACACGCATACACATACACCCAAACACACCCATACACCCCCACATAGCGGTGTGTGCTTCCGTGTCCACATTTCGTTACACGTAGTGGTGTGTGGGTACACAGAAACACACTTTCCTCTCTTTTTCTCGCCCTGCCTTGGAGGTGTTTGTGTGTACGCACGAATAATTGTATGCACGCATTTATCGAGATACACATGTATTACACACGTTATACCTGCGCACACATATATATGCACGCACATATACACGTATTATAATATTGCACACATATATAATTGTGTGTTTGTTATAAAGCTATGTATTGTCTATAGCAAATGAATTATAGATATTATTTGTGCATATCCACACACGCACGCACAAATAGAAACATGCCTGGGTTTCGTTCTCACACCCTCACACGCTCCAGCCACATCAATGAATATTTGGCTTCCTATATTTGGTTGCTGTGTATGTAGCCCTATGCACAGCCCACGCATACACACGCACGATACTTTTAGCCTTTATCGTTTACTGCTTAAATCCACCCAAACGCCCGCCCAGCCCATGTGCCTGTCACCCCGGGGCGGAGGTTTATAGACCGGGATTTTGCAAGCTGCATCTGTCCGCACGTCAGACATGCGATATATTATGCTTGCGGTCGCATTGGAGCAGTTTTGTGTGCCTATTTAGGGAGACTCGCAAACACGCGTGTGTTTGCGCTCATGGACACACTCCTATAACGATGGTGAATATATATTTATATCCACATCCCTATATACACATGTAAACACATACGGCTGAAAGTGTGAATATTTATGTGCACGGGCAAGTGTATGTTTATATTGTGCAGATGCATTTATCCACACACATACACGTATAAATACACCTGTATAAACCTGTGCATGTGTATTTATATACACACATCTATACACGTAAAATACATTCGTATAAACATTGGGCATATATCTGTGTATGGACACGGCAGATACACTCATATAAAATAGTGCGTGTACACACACATATACACGTAAAAACACGTGTATAAATATTGTGCATATATACGTATGTACACGTATAAATACACCTATATAAACCTGTGCATGTGTATTTATATGTACGAATATACACACATAAATACACCCGTATAAAACTGTATATACTAAATTGTATATATATTGTGTATATATATATATATATACACACACACACACATAACATGCTTATATAAAATGGTGCATATATCGGTATATATACGTACAAATATACTATAAAATTCCGCACATGTATATGTATATACATGCACAAATATACTCCTATAACATTTCGCATATCTCTATGTATATACACGTACAAATACATTCGTATATAATTTCGCATATATATTTAGACACACATATAAATGCATTCATATAGTTGTGCATATATATGTACAAATACACTCATAAAATTGTGTACACACATATATATACACACGCATATATACGTACAGATATACTTGTATAAAATTGTGTATATATGTATATACACATGCATATATACGTACAGATACACTGGTATAAAATTGTGCACATCTATTTATATACACACATATAAACACGTAAAATACACTGGTATAAACATTGTGCATATATGTGTATATACACGACAGATATACTCGTGTAAAATTGTGCATGTACACACATACACGTAAAACATGCTTTTATAAACATTGTGCATATATATACAAGTGTACACACGTACAAATACACTCGTATACAATTGTGCATATATACTTATATGCGCACATCTATACACGTAAAATACATTCGTATAAACATTGTGCATATATCTAGCTGTACGTATATATGCACGTACATATACGCTCGCATAAAATGGTGCATATATATTTATATACACACAGACATACACATAAAATACAATGCTATAAACATCACGCATATTATACATATACACATTCAGATACACCCGTCTAAATATTCTGTTATATACTTATACACACACATAAACATACTCGTATAAACTTTGTGCATATATATGTATATACACACGTACACACACTTACAAATACACTCGTATAAAACTGTGAATATATATTCATATCCCTGCCTCTATACACGTAAAATACGTTCGTATAAACACTGTGCGTATATATCCATGCAGATATATTTATGCACGCAAAAATACACTCGTATAAATATCACACACACATACACATGTACACATACACTCGTATACAATTGTGCATATATATTTACATATACGCATCTATACAAGTACATTTGTATAAACGCTGTGTGTATATCTCCATGTCGATATGTTTATTTACAGACATAAATACACTCGTATCAACAATGTGCACATAGATGTGTGTGTGCATTTGTACGTCTATAGACACGTACAAATACACTCGTATAAAATTGTGCATATATATTCATATACCCGCATCTATATACGTAAACTACATTCGTATAAACACTCTGAGAATATCTCCATGAAGAGATATTTATATGAACGCATAAATACACTCGTATAAACGTTGTACACTCGAGTGTATATATATATATGTATATATATATATATATATATGAACAAATGTACTCGTATTTGTACGAGTTTACAAGGTTTATACGAGTGTATTTATGTGTGTATGGATACATACGAGTGCATGTGTGTGTATATATATATAAACACTGCATATATATTTATATACCCTCACACATGCACGTGAAACTATTGTGAGGAGATATATATATATATATAATATGCACACATTTAAACACGCATAAACATTGCTAAAGAAAGACACAGACACGGACACGGAGACGCACACCACTGCTGGCAGCCGTATTTCACCTACACTTTTTTTTCTCTACACATCTAGATGCAACTCTAACACGGCGAGAGAGAGAGCGAGCGAGCGAGCTGGGAATGCACTGACTTTTGGGAAAGGCAGGCACGATTGCTGCTGATCTCTTCGCGGAGCAGCGGGGAGAGCTCCAGGACAAACCTCAGCAAGATAAAACAGCGCAAAACAAAAGGGGAAAGAAGCCCCTTTGCCTCTCCTGTGTGTCCGTGGACCGCCACGGCCACAGGCTCGAGCACACCCCGCACCCCTGCCTTGGTGCCCGGGCAGGAGCCCATGGAGCTAGGAAGGGGCACAGGGCTCCAGCCTACCCGGCGAGCCGCGGGAAGACGGCGCCCCATCCTCCCGGAGCCCGGGGGAAAGGGAGCTTGCAAAACTGGCCCCTGGTTGTGTCTGCCCGCGTGTGAGCCACACACACAGGCCCCAAGTCCCCGAGGCCTTTTTTCTCCCTCCCAGGCGCTGCCAAGCCAGCTGCCCCTTCTCTCTGCCCCTCGGGGATGGTCTGCGGGGCCGGGTAGAGCTCCTTCGGCTTTTGCAGAGCCGGCCAGCTCGGAGGGGGTTTCTCGCTTAACGGGAACAGAGCCGCCCCTCTCTTCCCATCCAGCTGCCATGCAAAATAAAAGGAACAGAAAGTTCCCGGGTTGTGTTTGCAGCTGTGCAGGGCGGGGTTAAAAAAACAACAACCCAGAAGCAGCAGCAAGAAGCACAAATGCACCGAAATCCAGCAAGGAAGGTGATGAGCAGAAGTCTGGGATGCCTTCCTGGTCCCCCCGCTTGCCCGGAGAGGACCCTATATGAAGTCCTATATCAGATCCGAGCCCCAGCTTCCCCCCACCCTGTTCAGGGTTTCTCAAGTTGATATCCCGGGTGGATTTTTGGTGATCCGGACCAGAGAGACCGCAGAGGGGGAAAAGCCAGCGCCTGGGGCAGTGAAGCCCCCTCGCCAGGGGCTCCGCAGCGGGGAAGAGCTGGGCGTTTAGGGTTTTGGTGGGGTTTGGTGTTTTTGGTTGGTTTTTTTTTTTTTTTTTTTTGCAGAGCTGTTAAAAAAAAGATGCAGCTCTTTACTAGCTGGGGCTTCCATGACCCTTTTTCCCTGCGACAAACAGTCAACCCCCCCTTCCCCCCAGCTGCTACCTGGCTCAGCACCCTCGCACCCGGGGCCGGGGGACACCTGTCCGCGGAGCTGCTCCCACCCATGTCACATGCCCGGGCCCCGCGAGATGCGTAGTAACCCCCCCACCCAACACAGGGATCCTTTGGAAAGGGGACCCCCAGCCCCCCTTTCCCGGAGCTGCAGACCCCCTGGCTCTCTCCTGCAAGGGGAGGGTCCCAGCACCTACCTCGCACCAGGATCCGGCGGCAGTAGTCGGCTTCGCCGGGCCCGGGCTGGCTGTCGCTCTCCTTGGAAGAGCCGGGGCTGGAGGAGGAGGTCCCCGGGGTGTCCCGGTGGGCGCCGCCGGGGTCTCCGCGC